CACAGAGAACAATTGCGGCAGAATTTGGATTATCAAATAAGGTAGCCACAGGTGCAGAAGTTGAGGTAATTGTTAGTTTCAAAGTAGACATATTGTCACTAATGTCCTTGAACATTCCACGATTGTGGTGTTTAGTTCAAATCCAAGTAAATATGAGATGATGAAATTGATCTTTGACCATTTGCAGAGTTTGAAGGAGAAATTGGGGCAAGTCATACGCTCAATGGGTGAAAAGTCACCTAATGGTAATGATCAAATTAAATCTCAGATCCCTTTTTTTGTCTTCTAACTCTGGCGTTTGTCCTCGTCCTGCATGTAGTGATGTTATCCTTTAGTATTAGCATAACATTGTAACGGCTTGCTTGATGATTTTATCTTTTTAGTTTTTTCAGTAGTTGGTCAAAAGCTAGTCATCGCTGATTTTTTTCTTTTCATTTCGATATTATCCTAGCATTATCATTGAGCTACTTAGCAGTAATACTTGTACCTTTCCTAATGGAAATTTTCTCGTCTTTCTTATCCCTTGCAGTTGAAACCATATACTTTAAGGTAGGTCTGGCTCTTCTTTTGTATTTGTTCATATACTACAAGCTACAAATTCACTTATCTGATAAATAACTCATTTGCACCTGAAAAAAGGTTCCTTTTGAAGAGGTTCCGGACCTTGTATCTGGTCGGAGAGTATTTATACAGAAAGGGTATGCCTTTGTAGCTGGCAGTCAGGCAAGTCTTGGTTTCCATTTCATTTCGAAACATAACTTCTCCTCAGTTAATAGCAGTGTCTCCTTGTATAACTTGGAATTCCCTGTTTCTCCTAGCAGTTGGTTTCCATTGTTGTCACACAATTTCGATCCCATTTATCAAAGGCCCTCACTCTGACTAACAGGTAACTTCTGGTTATATGAATATTTAGAAGTTCTTATATCTGTCACGCTTAGGTACTAAGAAAATTAAGAGTTCGACTTGCCAAAGCTTGAAACTCTCTTTGCTTTTCGTTAACAAGATTTTTCGTTTTGTGTGCAGAAAATGGACAACTACCATACGAGAACGAGAAAAAGACAGACTAACTCCAGTAAGCATGAGACTGAAATCAACTGATTTATTGCATGTCCCTTGTTTCCCTAACTTTTTTTTTTGTTATCATTCAGATAGTAGAAGCCTTATCTACAAGCTATTTGGGTCCCGATTATTCTCAGGTGAGGATCGCCCTTTGAAACTTGTTATATACATTTATAAATAAGGAATCATTGAAGTTGTTAATATGCCTCCACAGTCAAGTGAGTACGCTGACATATCACTTAAGGATATTGATCAAGTTTCCAAGAGTTCCTTTCCCCTTTGTATGAGGCATCTTTTTGAAAAAGTAAGTTGCTTAATGGCTTCCAAATCTTTTATTCTTCAGTACTTACATATCTTGTTTATCATGCAACTGTAACATATGAACATTTACACAGCTTCGAGAAGATCACCATCTAAAACATGGAGGAAGAATGCAACTGGGTCTTTTTCTTAAGGTTACTCTTTAATCCCTCTCCCTATGTCAAGTATACTCACATAATAATGCGATGCAGAGAGATTCACATCTTAGATTTGAGGCTAGGCGTAATAACGTATCAGTTTATCAAGCATCGTAGTCAACAAGCACCATTTTTTTTTTCATGTTGTGTCTTCTATTTGTACCTCTCTGAAGTTGTCTATCGACATGCAGGGTGTGGGTTTGAAACTGGATGATGCCCTAGCATTTTGGAGAGCAGAATTCACAAAAAAGGTAACTCGATTCCCAAATGTTTAATCTGTTAAATTTTCAAATCTGTTTAATGTCTCTCCTAGAGGATAACGTGTATTTTGTCCACTTTATGCCAAATCTCAGAAGAAGCTAATTTCTCGTGGTTCTTACCCTTTTCCGTTTTTGTGTGTGCTAGCCAATTTGAATAAGGAGATAGTGGGTGGACTTTTTGTCTGCAGAAACTAAGTGATACGGAGCTGCTAGATACTAATTTCGTTTTCTTCATAGGTTGGCGGTGAGAGATTTGATAAAGAGTATGCGTATGCCATTCGCCATAACTATGGGAAGGAAGGCAAAAGAACTGTAAGATGCTAACGGTTTCATATCTCTTCTTTATGTCAACAAAGCGGCAATGATCAGCTTCATCATGTAAGCTTCTGATACCAATTTCAAATTGCACTTGCAGGACTATACCCCTTATGCTTGTCAAAAGATCATTTCATCTGCTCCTGGTGTTGGGGATCATCATGGCTGCCCTTACCGACATTTCAGGTCAGTTTTCCTAGTAAAAATCTATTCTCTTTCTGTGAAAGAAAAGGGTAAAAATTATTCATGTAGGATCTGTTATCCATCCTCCAACACCGCTAACCTTATTTTTTTGCTGGATAAACAGCAGTTACTAGCGACTGCAAACATTTTGAGCATTCGCTATAGTTTCAGCTTATAATTACCCTTGCCTTTGTCTAGCTATAAATCAAAACAATAATCTATGCAAAGATGTGTGAATCCCAAAGTAATATATCTCAATTCAATCTGCTGCTTTGGTGTTGTGTGAAAAATGACAGTGAGGATAACCTGAGAGCAGCACTTGGTAGAATGGGATTGAGTTCTCGTGGAATGGAAGACGTAATGGATAAAGTGCGGAACAAGCATTATCAGGTGATTGATCATAAGTTATAAATCCTTGAATCTTTTTTTATTTTCGATTTTTAGCGTAACTAACAGGGTAATCTTCATATGCATGTTGGACTCTGCAAAACAAAAGCTTGCATGCACCTTAACCTTTGAAGCTGTTTATGGTACATCGTGTGATACTGGAATCAACCATCCCAACCAATACTTCGAGGAGAGTCAGAAAATCTTGAAATCCAAGACGCCAACTGCTCCCGTTTAATCTCTGTATCCGTGATAAATAGGAAAAATTAAAATCTAAAGTTGATGCAATAGTTGTTTGATGACATTACCATGTTTTAAACCAGGATTTGCATACAATCCTACTTTCGAACGTCATTAAGTAATTAATGGTTATTATGATATGGTGGGCGAACCTTTAAATCAAGAAACGCATTAAGTTTTTCTCAACGCATAAACCTGTTTCTCTGACAACGAAAATGAAGTGAATGTCTTGATGTCAGGGGAGATGTCCCACACAACATAGTAAAGCAATCACCAAGGCTGTCTTCTGCGATAAATGCCATAGCCACTGACCGAGAATCCCTAGTTTTCTAGATGTCTATGTTGCCATGTTTAACTGTAACTTTAACTATCGATTGTAGTGTTAAGTCATCCCTAAACAAGTAAACATGGTGAAGTTCCACTCGCCCCCATATTTCCTCCCATGTGAACAAGATGGAAAGGACAAAGGCAATTATTGAGCGTGATTTTGCACCCCCAATCACAAAGCGCCACGTTAGCTAATGGGCAAGACTTTCTTTTTTTGAAGAGTTGTCTTATTGTAAGCATACTATGTTTGCTCCCAGGGAATCTTTGCCAGAGCTACTTGTCTTGAGCGTGACTCACAGGTTAGGCCGACACTAACTTCATATATCGTCGACCGGGAATAAGATCAACCATCTTACAAATGACGACGTGATCCGACATAGGGTTTCAACCAAATTTGCCGCAATGTAAAGATGTTGTATAAATAATTAAATACCAAGTGATAAACCTTTGAATGGGGGACTTTAGCAAGAAAAAATAAAAACCTTTGAATGGGGATGTTCAAAAAGTACGGGCAAGCATAAGCATAAATCAAATGATCTCTAGGAGATTTTTATAATTTCTATTCTTCGGGAGAGAGTTCCAGTCCATTTTCTTTAGGGATTTTTTTTTCCCAATTATCCTTTAAATTGTGTCCATGATCTTCAAACATATCACCAAACTAAACCTATTCTTACTTTCCAATTAAACATATTCTCCTGTGGATGCATGACTTGAATGTCGGAGAGTCTTCGGTAGGAAAACTTTGCCTTCTTCTTATTTTACGAACATTTTTTATAGATTGATACTAAAAAATTAATCAATAAATAGTTTAGAAATTAGAGAGAAGTTAGTCATTAATCTACGTTAACTACCAAAAAGATAAAAATTCACAAAATAGAGAAAATTTAGCTTTTAACTAAATTTTTCAACATTGAATAGATATCATCTTACATATATATTTGAAAAGAAAGAACAAAAAAACTCAAAACACAAAGGAAAATTGCATTTAATAACAAAACAAAAAACTATAATTAAAACGTAAATCAAATGGTTGATATTTTGCTATTTATGCTATTTTTTTTCTTCTTAATTATCAGTTCTTTATAGTTTATTTAACAAATTAACTTAAACACAAAACATATTCATTGTTCATAAAGTAAATTAGTGGACACATCATCTAGTTTAACCAACAAAAAACATTGTAAACAAAAAAGGTAGAATGCTAACAAACATATTTTAATTCATTCTCAAATTGTCTTATATGAAATCTGGTCCAATACATAACGACAATTAGGCAGTCCAACTCAACCACACCCACATACCCGAATAAAGTCCAGCTCAACTTCATTCTATAATTTGGATCGATTATT